TTGGGATTTTATTCAGATGAAATTCTTAATTGGAATTTGCAGATAAATGTAGTTCTATGCACTCTGGTTATTCCTGAGTTAACAGAGGCTCTTCAAACTGTTTAGACCAGTGGTTCTCAACCTGTGGGTCGGGACCCCATTTGGGATCAAACGACCATTTCACGGGGGTCGTCAAACAATGCAGTCTGCCATTTTTTTCCCCTTTTCCTTAGCTGTGCTACTCCCTTTTATTCTATTGGCTTTTGAAAGCCAATAGAATAGACTCTCTTGAATAAAGTCTAATTCTATTGGCTTTCAAAAGCCAATAGGAATTGTGCAGGCTGTCTCTGCCCTGCTGAGCCTGCCAAAAGTCCCATTCTGCAAACGGTGCTGCACCAGTTGAGTAGTCCTCAACTTACGACCAGTTGAGTAGTCCTCGACTTACGACCGGTTGGGGGTCGCGGCATTAAAAAGGTTGAGAACCACTGGTTTAGACTCAAGAATAAAGGAAGAAGCAGAATCTGAATTTGTTTTTGTTTAATACACACAAACACACACACACAAATGCATATACATAATACCTGTCCCTTTCTGAAAATTCTGTTTTCAGGCATGGATCTATGTACTAGTGATGTAAAAACCTAGGCTGGAATGTCTTGTGAATATTTCATATTGTAAGCCTTATTATCAGTATTTCCAGAACATTGAAAATAAGCAAGAAAAAAGAATATGATCCTGGATTTATCAGATAGAATCTGGGCAGTCCAATTAATATGGTGAGAAATTGGGCAGGATTTAGGGAGAGCATGATACTGTAGGAACAATAAGTGACATCACACAAATGATTTAGAAATCAGGGCTTAATCTACAACAGGCTTTCTCTGGACCATCTAGATCTATGCTTCTGAACTTGTTTCTAGTTTGATTGATCTTATCTCTCTTGCTTGTCCCCTACAGGTTACCATACTCTGGCTACTTTGGAGGAGTCTCTGGCCTAAGCAAGACACAGTTTCTGAAGATTAATGGCTTCCCTAATGAGTACTGGGGCTGGGGTGGAGAAGATGATGACATCTTTAACAGGTATGTGAAAGACTTCAGTTGGGCTAAGCTCATCCAGGACGTGTTCTCTGTGGGTTGATGGCATGAACTGTGTAATCCATTTTTCCACATAGCATTTACAGCAGTGCTCTCCAACTTTTCTGACTCAGTGAACCGGTGGTGACGGGGTGGGGGGGGGGAAGAGGGGGATGGTTTCCTGCACACACCACTTTTACACATGCAACTTCATGCACACACGTGCATGCATGTGCACTCGCCCACCACTTCCATGGCCCAGTTCCAAACAGGCTGCAGCCCAGCACAGAGCCGTGGACCAGGGGTTGGGGATCATTGATGTACAGAGAATATTTGGACTGTCCAGTATTCTTTTGCTGGATAGGATGGTTCTGCAAATTGCAACAAATGTTATGTGTACTGAACTTTCTATAATTACATTTTTGTCCTTTATCAATCCATGAAAGCCAGGAATGTGGTGGAGAAGAATAGAGAAGGTTTAGGCAAATCCCATTATTTTAAAGGCTTGTTTGAAACTCACTGTTTTGCTAACCTCTATCCTATACTTTTCTTTGCACAGGATCTCACTTAATGGCATGAAAGTATCACGTCCTGATGCACGCATTGGGCGCTATCGCATGATCAAGCATGAGCGTGATCGACACAATGAACCAAATCCCCAACGGTAAGAATGCATCTGTGTTAACTTTCTATCTAATCCTCATAACTTTCATCATATTCTCAATCCACAGACTGCAAATCAATTTTCTGTTGCAAAAGTAACCTACCAGACAAGGGGTAGGCAACCTTGGCTCTTTTATGACTCGTGAATTCCTGAGAACTCCCAGAATTCCTGAGCCAGCCATGCTGAGGGGAAAAGGGAGAGGTTTCCAAGCTGAGCAATGCTGGGAGTTGAAGTCCACAAATCATAAAAGAGCCAAGGTTGCCTACCCCTGTTCCAGACCATCTAGTGGAAGTTTGGGAGACTAACCTTTCAATGCTAAATTATATGCTATAAACATTTTTATGTTTCTTTTTGTAGCAGAGGAGTACAGACTATTTTGTGAGAAGAGGACAAAGACCATAGCTTTTGAAAAGAAAGTTGAGGCTGCAATTAAAATTAAAGAAACTAAGATAAGGAAGTGGGTGGGAAAAGGGAAAGAAATTTGATTAAATAAATAAATAAATAAAACCAATATTTAATCCTCTTATATTTAATAGTTCCCCCTTCTATCAACATTGAAAAATAGAATTTGCTGAAAACTTTGGAAGGAGGTATGAAGTTATATCCTTGAGTCTTAGAGTGTACTTCCCTGCCGTAACATGACTCTGAGGAGAATTTCATGCTGTCCAGTCTTCTTTTTCCCACTCTACTCTCATTTGCCTCTTACTCCTATATATGTGCATGTATCAATGGTCAGGTTAAAACTATGGTTTACTGATGCAGGAAAGGATAAATGTGTTTGAACTGACTACCCTATATTTACTATATTGGGTCCACAACCCCTGGTCTGTGGACCAGTACTGGGCCGCAGCCTGCCAGCAACCGGTCCGCACAAACAAGCAAAGCCCTATCCGCGGGATGCAGGGAGCACACAAAACCACGTCCCCTCCGGTCCACGGAAAAACCTCTCTCTATGGAACCGGTCCCTGGTGCCCAAAAGGTTGGGGACTCCTGTACTATATAGAGCAGGGGTCCCCAGTCCCAGTTCGGTACCAGTCTGTGGCCCTTTGGAAGCCAATCTGTGCAAGTGGTGGGCAAATACACAAAGCTTCATTTACACATCTGTGAGATTAGATTGTCACCACTGCCATTGAACCGTGGAGCCAGAAAGATTGGGGACTGCTGATATAGAGAATAGGCAATGTGGGATAACTAGTATGGTATATATTTGATATTGATTTACATAGATTTCTCTTTGTTTATTTGATAAGTGAAGCAGGATTGAATTCCTGTCGACCTTAATCTTTAAATATAATCAGTTTTCACTGTTCTCTTGCCAATAATTCCAATCAGGGTATGTAATTTGAGGAAGATTCTTGTATAACTTATTTCTGAACGTTGTGGGATCCATGGAGAGTTTTGGATAGTGACTCTGTCCCCGTGCGTTCAGATGATATAATTTAGTTTTGGCAGCCCTGTGTAGAACTTGTGGAATAACAAATGCATTATGGTGGAAACTGCAGAGAATACTGCATTATTCATGAATTTATGTAATGTTATGTAATGCACTGATCAGAATTCTACAAATGATGTAATGTTCTATTTAATCTTTTTTCCATTCATTTGAGGGATTGTTGTTTTACCCTGTGCCAAAATAAACTGTAAAATATAGGTGAAATATGAGGTTCTGTTTTGTTCTTGTGGCAGGTTCACCAAAATCCAGAATACCAAGGTGACCATGAAACGTGATGGCATTGGTTCACTTCAGTACCGCCTCGTGGAGATGTTTCGCCGTCCCATGTACACCAATGTAACTGTGGATATTGGCCGACCGCCGCCACGCCCCTCTCGGGGTTGACTCTGCTGCTTGGCCCTGCCCATGGTCCCATGCATGAGGAGCAACATGGATCTCAGCCCTGACTGGTTCAGAGGACTGTGTCCTGACTGGGACGACCTGTCTGCCTCCTTCATGGGAAAAGGGGAAAGGCTCTCTGGACACACCTTTGTCTTGTCCTTGCCTTTGGCTGAAGACCAGCTCCTTAACACTAGTCGGTTCTCCGCAGTGCCGTTCAGACTGGAGAATGAATGTGTGTTATATGCTTGGTCCAGTGTTTCAATTTTGGGTAGAGCCGAGCCCCGATTGCTGAGGAAGGCGCCGAGAGCAGAGAAGCCTTGTTTAGGGCTTTGACCTTCCCTTTATCTCTGGCAGAGACCATCCTCTCCCTGAACTTTTTGCAAGGCTGTGTCCCTGAAAGATTCCAAGGGTATGGTAGCTGTTTGCTTCTTCTCACAGACTGAAAGACTACTGCCTTTTGTTAGCCTTTCGTCCAGGCACAGTCTGATCTTACGACGACTGCCAGCTACCAAGGTGTAGAGATGGTTTACCACTGAGGAGAGCTCCCGTCGCCAGTAAAAGCTCTAATGGGTCTGGCCCCACTGCCCACCTCCATTCATGGCTTGGTGCTGTCCCCTGCTGGATCCTGGTTGCTTTTTTTCTGGCTCCAGTACTCCAGGGGTATTTTATACAAATCCTCATTAGAATACTTGAGTGCTTCCTGGGTTAATGTATGTGTAGCCTGTCTGGCATGGTACAACAGGACTTTCTTCTTAGCTGTGATTTCTCTTCTTCCTTGAGTGGAGCAGATTGGATGGGTAGTGAGATTGTACCTTTTAGTAGGGTGGGTAGATGGATGTATGGTTTGACATACCCTAAAGTGGGCTTGCTTCTCACTTTCATAAGCACGCGGAACTATAGCCACTGTTATAGAACGGAATAACGTGAAGGTAGAGTTCAGCCTGTTTTCCCTTGATCCACTACCATCCCAACTTCCACTCCTCAAGCAATTCTAGCAGCCCTACAGTTTCTGCCAGGCATCTTGCCCTTAACCACTCATTCTTTTATTTTTATCAAAACTACCCCCAATGGTATGTTTGTGGCAGTTCTACACGTAGTACTTGGAGCTGGAAAGCTGCTGGCATTTCTTCATTCTGGTTATGGTGCCTGGCAAGTAGAATCACCTGCATCTGTCCACTTTGGGGTGACAGCTGGGCCAGGCTGGAAGCCAGGCATCAGCATGTCAAATAGCCCGGGTGTTGGTGACTTTTGTACATTTGAATGTTTTGATCCCTTTTCAAGCCTATGGTGAATGCAACACTGGTCACTATGATCAGACTTTTGTATTCAGTAAAGTTTCAAAACTTGGAGACTCCCTTGTGTCTGGAATTCTGTAGGAGACACTTGATTGGGGCAGCTCATACCATTGCCTTTATTAATCTAGTGCTCTTCAGGCATGCCAGGACTTCAGTACCCAGAATTCTCAGCCTATGACTATATTGGCTAACAATGTCGCTAGCTGAAGTCTGTGGAAGACACCAGGTTGGACATTTCTCATCTGTAGTTTCCTTTTCTTTATTCTTCTTAGCAAGGCCAAATTCAAGACATTTCCAAAATACATTCTAGTTTCTCACACTATCTTGATTTTATGGGGCAGAAACTGAACAATTGGCCCAGGAAATTATGTGTACAGTTGCTCAAATGTACAGGAAAGAGAAGCTATTTCGTAAGGATTCTTTATTGTCATATAGTCAAGGAGTACATGCAGATGAAGCTATTCAGTACAACACTGTACAAAAGAGGCTGTCTTTTGAGTGGAATTGACTGGAATCCTGGGAGGAGAAGATAGGCATAAAAGTTAAATCCTATATAAAATACAGCAGAGATTGCTATTGGCAATGCAATTGGGGAGCAGGGATGGGGAAATTGTTGTCTTGCAATTATTGCAGAAGTATATCACCCAGCAACCCTAGCTAGAGAGCCATTGGCAAGGGATGATGGGAATTGTAGTGCAGCATTTGGACAAAACTGAGCAGCACTTTTTCGTGCGGCTGCTGATTAAAACAGGATCGCCAACATGATCGCCAACGTCCGATAACGGATATGGCACAAGAAGAAGAAGAACAATAACTGAAGGGTCTTTCCTAGAAGGCCTAGATAGCAGAAGAGTAGGGAACTGGACTCTGATCAGGATCTAGGATGGATAATTGTAGTTTGGAGTTGGCAGAACAGCATCTGGTGGGGTTCATTTGTAACTTAGCCCTTAAAGAGATGAGGTGGTTAAGGAACCACTTAATATTTAAAGGGGTTAGGAATGGTGTCTATCTGAAACTCGGCATCCCACCAGCTGCTCACATTTAGCTAAGTGGTTTCCTTCCCAATAGCCAGCATCTTGTCCATCATGACAACGGCAGCGAATACAGGGACCGACCCAGATGCTATCTCCAGCGGGAATAATGTTGTGCTGGCTCTCATCTATGTAGCAGTTTGGTCCTGTGGGAATAAAAGTATTTTCTCAATGTATTATCAAGATATACCATGAAGACAAGAGAAAACTATAGAGGCCATCAGGCTGCTCTCACTTGGCCATTGACCCTCCAAATGTGGCTTGCATGAGATATCAGAAACCAAGTGGGTGTATTATGTGGGGGTAGCATAGAAAAGGCAAATAACAGTCCTCACTTAGTGACCACTTAATGGTTAAAATCAATAAGCAGATCACCATGTGACCTTTCTCAATTTTACAACTGTTTTTATGATGCTCACAAAATGAATCACCGCAGCCATGAAGTGAACCACATGGCCATTAAGCAAATCCATTTGCATGTAATGAACTCTTTTTTTTGCCAGAAACCACCCAAAAAACGCCACGTAAAAAGCGCAAATTGCAGTTATGCAACTACAGGATGCTGCAACCGGTCATAAATACAAGCCAGTTGTCAAGCACCCGAAATGCACTCCTGTGACCACTATGTGTACGTGTGCAGCGGTCATAAGTCTGAGGATGGGTTTGTCATAACTGAACAATTGTGAGGACTGCCTGTATTCCCAGTTTTTGGAACATAAATAATAGTATAACATTGTAGTATTTATATTAGCCACGGAAATCTAACTCATTCTTTACATCAGTGTTTCTCAACCATGACAATTTTAAGGCATGTGGACTTCAACTCTAGAATTCCACAGCCAGCATTGCTGGCTGTGGAATTCTGGGAGTTGAAGTCCACATGCCTTAAAATTGTCAAGGTTAAGAAACACTGCTTTACATTTTCATTAGGGGACTCCTCAAAGAGGAAAGCAAGCACCATAGCCTAGTGGTTACTTGGGAATGGCACACCTTTCTCTTAATTTCTCACCTTCCTTGCAGATAGGGCAGCAGTGGCCTTTCTCGTAGATGGGGTTGACACAGGGTGGGGGGGCACAGTCTGCTACCAGGCAGCGGGCAATTCCATCCAAGTCACAAGTACACTGCTCACATTCAGAAGGCTGTGGGGAACAAAGGTTGATCAGTGTGGCATGGCAATTTGCAACCACTCCTCCATGTGCGCAACAGCATTGGATGACTTTATTCCCAAGCTGTGCCCATCCTGTGTAGTACTTTGCAACATACATATTCTTACAGACTGGCACAAAGCCTATTTTGAAGGTAATTTCTGCACTGTCGCATTGTCATCCTGCAGGGTTCTGAGCAAACCTACCTCTTCTTTCTTCATTCTCTCACTACAAGGACTCTCTTAGTGCTATGCGAACAATTCACTATCACTGCAGTCATATACTATTTGCAAGACGTAAATTAATTAGTCCCCATTAAACAAAAACTTGACACAGGTTGCCTTTTTTAGATACAAACAGAACAACTGATTTCAGTATTGATCTCATGCTTAAGCAACTCCTTTCTTGCTTACTCACACTTCCCTTTTCAGGTCCTGCTAAAATCTCTTCCAGAAAGAGTTTTTCTAAAAAGCATTAAGAATAAGATGCTGCCATGTTGCTACTGGGATTCTCCCAGCCGAAGAACTTCATATTTCTGCCCAAATCTGTCATAATAGTATTATGGCAACAGTTTTTTTTAAAGGCAAGTGTGTAATCAAAGCAAGCAGGATAAAGACACGCCCAAAATATTTATTTGATAGAGAAATTACTTCTCCAAAAGTGATTCCTTTTGCAACTATTTCCTCCTTTTTCTGCAGTATTGTAGCACTTGCAACATTTTCATAGACTTCACAATACTAAGATGGCACCATCCATTCAGATTGGTTTCAGTTTTAGGAGAAATGCAAGCCTCCAAGAGGATCTCTTGAGCTATTAGCCTCCAGCCACCATTTTTGTACAGTAGAAGAAAAAATTAACAAGTTTCTGTTCTGATTGTTCATGTAAAGATTGTGGCATGGAGTTTCAGATCCGGGTGTACTAAACACATCCACAACAATGGAGGTGATGCCCTCCAGGAATCCTGTGGCAGGACTGCAGTTAAATACTTAACAAAGATGTTACTGTTATTTTCAATTCATTACATCTCTAGTAGCAAAGCCTACCACTAGTGTTAGGGAAACCAAACTAATGATAATAAACATAAGTAACAATCAGTTTGACCCTATTCTCAATCCCCTTGTCCCCTTTTTGCCAGCTACTATATTTACTTAAAGATAAACTCCTCACTTTATTCTTCTCTATATTAAATTCCCTCTCCATTGGACCAGCAAATGGTTATATCAACTCATACCTCTATTGAACTGTTGAAATAATTATAGTGGGTCACATGGACACCACAGGCTTGTTGCCAAAAGACATGATCAGAATCATAAAAGTTAAAAAAAAAGTTTCCTTTAATGTAAGATGCTTTCCAGGGCTTCTTTAAAATCCCCAAAGGCATTCCAGATCTGATTTGGCAAGATGTTGCCTTATTCTGGTGTTGTAGATAAGAAAAAAAATCCTTCTTCCTAAATTGCTTGTTTTGTTGCTTGTAATACTAAAATGTAATAACTTCAGTTAACCACATTTTTTAAAAAAGCTATTTTGTCAATATTTCACTTTTATACAAATGCAAGGTGTTACAGCTTCATTGTTACTTTTACTAAACATCAAACATGCAATATTGTACCCATCTCCAAAAAGTTCTGGGCAAACTTCAAAAATTTAGGCCTCTCTAAAAGGGCTGTTCATGCCTCACAAATGATGGGAGGAAGCACTCTCATGTTACAGCAAGCCTGAAAAAAAAAGATGCCACTTTTTAAAGTGAATTAACTTTAATGAATTTAACACAATTCTGTTGGCACAGTAGCATGAAAAATGTTGTAGTTGCTCTAATGAATCGGTGGAGGTGTTTACTCAGGAGATCCAAAGCATTTCTCTCCAATCATTTTCAAGTGTGCACAACCTTACTCATTAAGAAGTGAGAGAGGAAAATTAATGGGAAGAGACATGATTATTTTTGGTGAGCTAGGCCCCATCTGCTCGCTGCAAAACGTCTCTAAGAACACTCAGCAGATTTGAGCTAGACAGCAACGACATTTATCTGCTCACTGTCCAATTATGAGGATTGGCCCTTATTTCGTGGGAATGAGTGATATGATTCTCAGGTGCAGGGAACCCAGGAGTAGAGCAGGCTTTGATCTTCTACCTGCAACATCTCAGTGTAGATCTGCTTAGTCAGCTATTAGTAACAATATCTGCCCCTCCCTCGTTGCCCAGTTCCTCCTGCCAGCAAGTTGCTTGGCCTGACAACTCACTGCTTAAAATACATTGCAAACAATTTTAGCAGTGAGAGACAATAGCCAGAAACAAGGTACCAAAAGTGATTAGTCTAGGGACTGAGAAATAGAGGATAGTCGAATAGACAATTATACTGCAGACAAAAAAGTCCTTATTTTACTTTTGTGCTGTCAAAACATTTTGATTTTAAGAAACCTCTTCATACCATTTCTAAGCTCCTGCTTGTCATCCACATCACTTTCTAATACACTGTAAGACCATCCTTGAAGTGGCAATTCAGTTTCCATTTCTTAATCAGTTAGGCTTCACGAAAACCAAGTCTTATCTCCGGACTGAACAAATCAAGACTATATTGTTAATGTCCCAACTTGGACCTTCAAGGGATAGAAGTACTTCTCAACTATTTTGTGGGCAGCTTTCACTTTTAGCCCTGATTAAAGAGGTCCGCACATTCAGGGAGGCGGCCACCCACCCATCCCCGGCCTTGATGTTGCCTGTCAGTTTTTCATCTCTGCCCCCCCCCCCCGCCTTCGTTTGCTTGCCTCACCTGAAAATGCTGTCCCAGTTCATAAACCTGTCCTCGGTGCTCACAGCCGATGCGTTCGCAGCGCGGGCAGCAGTCGCTCGGATAGTGGCTGACGTGAATGCAGGCCGGCGGCAGAGCGGCGCAGTCAGTGCGGGCACAAGCTGGTCCTTCCGCCGTGCACTCACACTGGATGCAGTGGTCGCTATCCAGGGAATACCATTCACCTACGAAGTACAGGCTCCCGTTGGCATCGCAAGTGCTGACCGGCGCCGCCAGCCCGGGCCGAGTCACCACAGCCAGGAGCAATGCCAGGCTCAGCCGATCCGAAGGAAAGGGCATCGCGAAACGCCAGAGGCGGCTGGGCAGAGCAGAGAAACGGCAGAGAAGCGGGTGGAGACAACCCCGAGTCCGCTTTCTCCAGGCAAAGAATCTAGCCCGCGGCTGACAATCAACCTGGCCGGCCCTGCGCTCCTTTGCCCTTTGTGCCGCCGCCCGCCCCGGAGTGAAACCCGAGCACCCCTTCCCCAAAAGGGAGGGCGGAACCTCGCAGCTGGGAGGGGCAGATGCATTGCCCCCTGCCTGCCCCCTGCCTGCCTGCTTCTCCTGCCAGGCTGGTCCCGCGCTCCACCCCGCCCTCCGAGCCCCCGCGCTTTTCCCAAACCCTTCGAACTTCGCACCTCGAAGGAGGTGCGTTGCCTCCCAGCCTCCCGGCTCGGATGCCCCCGCGCCGCCTTTCCTTCCATGCCCCGCTCGCGTTCTAGGAAGGAATGGAGCAACTGGTCGGGTCGGATCTATCCCGCCCTTTGCCGAGGCTTTTCCGAGGGTGTTTTGTCTGCACGTTGGTCTTGAGGCTGTTTCAGCTTTCCGGACGCGGCTCCTTTAAGAGGCGAGGTTTCCGAGGAACGCACAGGGGGGTTGCCATAGAGACAAGGAGTTGATGCTCCCGAGAGCTCACGCGGGAAGGTGAAGAGTTGGGGGGAAAGTGGAAGGCGAAGTTCTCCTCCCCTCCCCGCGGAGCTGCGTGCAGGGGGCGTTAGTCAGTCTGGGGCAAAAGTGAGAGGGACGAGGGATTAAGCTGGTGGCACGGTCGAAGCTGGGCCGACCGTAGGGGAGCCTGCGGGGTTAGTTTGGCCAGGCCAAGGATACCAGGATGAGCTGCTACAAATGTAAAGGGGGAGGGGCAATGGAGAACAGGTAACTCGGTTGCCATCAGAGGAAGAAATAATCAGGAAAATATTGGAATGTGCAGAGATGGGCAGATTAACTATGAGGTTGAAAGATAAAGAAGATACAGACTACTATCAAATTTGGAATTTATTTTATTCTTGGTTAGAGAAGAGAATGAAGGATTAGGAATTGAACATGTATTAGCATAGCAAACTCCAGACAACTTGTTGATTGGAAAAATTAACATATGTTGATGAAAAAAAAATTAATAAAATTTTTTATATATAAAAAAAAGAACAGGTAACTTGGGTTGTTTTGCTGCAGGGATTAGTGAAGTCTTCCTAAACTTTTTCCTTCGTTACCGCAAACAATCCTTTTTTTTTTTTACCCAATGAAAGTAAAACAGTTAAATTAAAAGTTCTTGTGATTAAGTAATGGATGCCTTTGTTGTTATCCAAAGAAAACAACCTAACGTAGGTAGTTTACCCAAAGTGTTGGATTAGTGGGTCTTAAATATATGTGTGGTTATGAGTTTGATCTATTACCTAATGGATTTGGGGACTATGGCCTTACTTTGTTGTGAATGATTAATACACAGTCATGATTATTATTATGGTTGGTCCACACCATTAGATTGGATTTGGCAATTTTATCAACCTGCTGAGTCCTTCTCAAAAAACCTGGGATATAGGCAGATTTTAATTATTAATAAAGCATATAATGCAACGTTAAACCTAATAATATTTAATAACAACACTTAAATGGTGTTAGTCTTAATGCTGCTCAAGAAGAAATGGGGATAACTTGCTAGGTGTCCTTGCATTGGGCACCTGTCATTTGCTACTTAATCTATATATCTCCTTCTCTCCTCTAATGCATTAGACCTGGGAATTTCTAGTGTTATCTTGGAATTGGACTGTGCTCCCATGTTCCCCTCATCCAGTTTCCCCTCGGAGCCCTTGAAGTCAGTGCCATCGCTCTGGAGGATGATAGAGGAGCAGTTAGCACCCAGCGAGAGACTGGAAGTGAAGACTATCTTGGGAACTGATCTTGTGGACCACAGCTTGGAGCTTCATGCTGAGGTTTGAAAGAGGAACTTCAGGCCAACTGTGTGACCTAAAAGTGTGGTTTATGCATTTTCCTATTGAAATAATATGTACAGAGGTACAAAACTCATCTCATCATTTTGAATGGTTGTGGATGGTGTCAAGGGGGGCTACCACATCTACCACCCCATTAGAATCCCTTGAGTTTTTGGCAAAGAATTTAATTGAGCAAAAGTTTCATTGGTATGGAGCGGCTTTAATGTGATTGCAAAAATTCCTTTTTAACATGGGAGCTGTAATCCTAATACTTTTGGAAGACTAGGTTGGGGAAAGGTGCTAAAGGTACACATGTAGGACCACACCAGCCAGTTGGTCTAGTAATTAAGACCTCAGGCTAGAAGGCAGCAGATCATGAGTTCTAATGCTGCCTTAGGCATGAAAGCAGTCTGGATGACTTTAGACTAGTCATTCCCACTCCCAATCACCTCACATGGTTGTTGTGGAGAAAATAGTAGGAGGAAGGTCTGTTGTTCACCACCCTGAGTTTTTTGTAAGAGAGGCAGAATACAAATAAATAAAAATTAAAAATTGAAAAATAATAAAATGAGGAGAGTAGACATTTCATTTATCATTTACTGTATGCCACATGGAACAAAGATCTCTTCAATCTGAGCCATCTCTAGCTGAGAGCTGGATGCTATTTAGCAGCGTGAATTGATTAACATTGATGATGAGTTTGGCTAAAGTATCTATAACGTTTTGCCAGTATTATATTTTATGCTTGTGGTTCACTACACTTCATTTCAGCAGTCTGTACAAAGTTAGATTGTGTTGAGTTCTGGAGAAAGCATCTCTCTTTTCACTGTTTTTGAAATACATACATTATGCATGACAGTCATTTTGGGAAAAGTTCACAGTTATAATCTGAGAACTGTAGACTATATCTCCATTAGATGTAGCCCAAATACGGGGATTATGACTTCAATTATTTCTCTCTCCAGTGATCAAATTTTGGTCTCAAGCAATAGCATGCATGTATTCGTTATTTTATTGTTCAAATGTTGCTGTTGTTTTTGCTTTTTTGGCCAGTTCAATCTGGGTGTCCCAACTACTTTCAAAGTCTAATTTAGATCCTGTAATGGAAATACATCTGCTTTGAGAAGATCAAATTGTAAGAGTGAATTGATGTATTGCCTTCTCTCTCATCTGCAAGTTTCCCTTTTGACTCATCTCAGCTGGCTTCTAACACTTGGCTAGAGTCTCTAATCCCTGCTATTTCAAGGCCTTTGTTCTGCTCCAGTCATTCACACCCTTTCTTTATTCAGCCTGGGGAAAAGAACAATAAATATCCCCAAATCTTTTCTCATGCTAATGGATTTACTTCTCTCTGCATGGATTGGTTGAAATGTACTATGCATTTCATGTAAGATTAACGAAAGTAGAAGAAATAACATGGGGTGGATGGACAGAATCAAGATATTACTGACATGTTTCTGGAAGTGCTGTGGATTGTCCCCAGAGACTGGTTTGTCCAAATAGCTGTCAGAAGTCAGAGCTGATTCAAAGGCACCTAATTCTCTGCTTACCAAGATCAACTGGTATGCTTTTCCATTCATATCTTCCTTGGGTCCATCCGTCCATGACTTCAAAGCATCAGGATGTCTATTGTAATAGTAAACCTTTGAGGCTTCTTACCTACCTTTCTACTTCCTTTTAATTTCAAGCTGTGGTGTGGCACAAGGGATACATAATTTCACTGTTCTCCTCTTGTCCAAACGCCCTCTGTCCCCAGTCAGGACAGCTGGGAAGTTGTTCAGCAAAGCATTTTTGTTGATATGTAGGGTCAGGAAGGGAGTGCTGGAATTTGTCCTCCAAAAATGCCTTGCATTACGTCCTTTGTAGCCGAGGATATTTTGTTTGCAGAGTTCAATACATTCCTTCCTTTCCTCACAGGGAAAGGCAATGGCTGTGAAGGGACATGAATTCAGCTTTGTAGCTTTTATGAAGTATCAGTGGTACAAAAATGATAGCAATGCAGTCTCCTCTTGCATTGGGTGACCATACAGGTAGTCCTCAATTTACGGCCACAATTGAGCCCAAATTTTTTGTGGCTAAGCAAGACAATTGTTAAGTGAATTTGCTCCGTTTTATAACTTTTCTTGCCACAGTTGTTAAGTGAAGGTGTTAAGTTAGTAATACAGTTGTTAAATGAATCCGGCTTTCCCATTGACTTTGCTTGTCAGAAGTCGCAAAAGCTGATCACATAAGCCGGGGACACTGCAACCGTCATAAATATGAACCATTTGCCAAGCATCTGAATTTTGATCCCATGACCATGGGGATGCTGCAGTGGTTGTAAGTATGAAAAACAGTCACAAGTCGTTTTAATGCCATTGTAACTTTGAGCAGTCACTAAATGAAGTATTGTAAGTCAAGGAATACCTGTATTCTGTGCTAATCTGAGTGTGGTGAGTAGGTATTTTAATATGAGAGTGGAGTAGTGTTATTGACAATTATCTTGTAGAATAACTTTGCCCATCTTTTGTTAAAGGGTTGTGGCATAATAGCTCCTTCCTTGATTCTAAAATGCTTTTCAGGGTTGGTTCCCTCAACTTTCTGTCCTCCAAATGAGTTGGCACTACACTTGCAGACTGGCTGGGAATTTTGAGAGTTACACTTCCAACACACGTAGATGGATGGAGGTTAGAGAGAGCTGTTCAATCATTTCACAGCCTATGCCCAGTCCTTAGGCAAATTAAAACATTACTAAAATAGAATGAGAACCCAAACAAGGCAAGGAAACAGCAGGCTGTTAAGCAATCCAATCTTGAGTTTTATGACACAGATGAATTTAATGGAGAGTGTTATTAATCATAACATAACATTGCATGCATTTTTATCATTCATGAAGTATGCTCAGTCTTGTAGTTACATCTGCTTTTGTTCTGTCACTTCTGTCTTTAGTTTTTGCTTGCAAGGTGCCCTGCTTTTTAAAACATTTTCTTTTAAATTAAATTACTTTCTTCACGGGCTGCTGCTGCCTGAAAGGATTTTTTTTTCTCAGCATATGTTTTCAATCCATAGATATCTGCTGTATGAACAGGATGTTTTTCTTTTTTGAATTTCAGAAGATTCATAGAAAATGAATAGTTTCTATGCCTGCGTTTGGAAATTCTTACATGTAAAGGAAGTATGGGGGCATATGAGGGAGGCTTTGGAAGAGAAAGGTAAAAAGACACGAGTACTGCAAATGAGATAAGGAAGCAATGATTATAGAAGGTAGCTCACACAAAGAGAAATAAACATGAAGGACAAGCAAGATAAAATACCTATTGCAGTCTTCCCCGTTGTGATATCTCCTAAGATAGGATGAGCAACAGTTATTATTTTGAGACAAATGACAACCACTGTGAGCTGTGGCCAAATGCAGCTGGATGTACAAGTTTAGAGAAGAGGGGACAAAAATAACAGCATGCTAAGGCAAGCATGGAAAACTTTGAGTCAGTTTTGTTTGGTAATTAGGACATTGGGCTGGTCCCAGGGGTCAAATCCATCATCAGCCACAAACATTCCTAGGTGACTTTGAACCAATCACTCATTGCATTTCAGTCCACCTAACCTCATTGGATTGTTGTGGGGAAATATAGGAAGAGAGAGAACTACTTTGAGGTTGTGAAGAAAGGATAGGATATCACATAAATGATTGGTCTTGACATTTCAGAAATGCATCAGAAATTTCAAGAACCTCCACAACAATTTTTACCAATCCTGCAGCCTACCTAACATGTAGTTTTGTACCATTGTATTGATGATTATTCAAGATTGAATCTGAACCCCAACCCAGATTTGATCTTGCAACATTATCCTGGGACACGTATATTTGCATTCAATTGTGAAGATTATCCAGGCTACATTATGTCTTTCAAACAAAAGAGAGAGTTTCTGGATGATGTTATTATCTTGCTTAATTTTGCTTATGAATCTTTGAACAAAGAAGCATCTGGAATGTAACAGGAATGCTACAATTGTAGTCTTCAGGTGTGTAACCATTTCTCATTATTTGGGCAAATGATGGACAGGCATGGAAAGATTACAAGTGACTTTTCTGGGATTTGTATCATGCAATTCTAAACATTTTGGGATATGTCCAATGTACACAGTCAAACTTCCTCTCTCTTTACAGGTAAAGACTCTCTTGGAATTCTATCAGGAATTGCAACTGGACCATTCTGAGCAAAGGCCTGATAACTGTATCTTGCTGGCTGCTCCTGCCCACTTAAAAGAACTAGTAAGAGAGGAGATTCGATTACTTGTGATTGGCTTGCAGCAAAAGGCATTGCAGGAGGGCAGGTACTGAAGAAAATGAAATGCTCCACAGTGAAGGTCTAACTTGTTCACAAGTTTTAAAACATTGCAAGGAACAAGCAAGACTACAAATTAAGGTCTGCAGTCTTTGTGGAAAGAAAGAATCTGTAAATCTCTAACTCAAGAAGTTGTGGACTAGGCTGTATAAAACTTCCAAATTCCTTGTGATCCAAATTCCCCAGAAATCATACTGTCAAACTTTGTGGGCAAGATAGGTGTTATTTCCCACTTCTTTTGTGGTGAGGACGGGGAAGAATCGAGAACCTTTTTCTCCTTTGTTCTACTAGACCAGGGGTCCCCAACCCCCAGTCCATGGACCTGTACCGGGCCATGGCCTGCCAACAACTGGGCCGCACAAATAAGCAAAGCTCCATCCGCGGGATGCAGGCAGCACACAAAACCATGCCCCTTCCAGTCCTCAGAAAAACCTCTCTCCATGTAACTGGTCCCTGGTGCCCAAAAGGTTGGGGATCTCTGTAGTAGACATTTCCTGATCATAAAACTTATCTCACTTCTATGTCCACCTCCCATTTATGCAGACATCTCACAACAGCACAGCTCCATCAGGAATGACATTCAGCTCTTACGTTTGTTTCTCTAGTGTGCATGATCCATGATCCTTTATACTGAGGCCCGGATTATGTCCCCTCCCTCTCCAAATTCAAAAGAGGGATTCATCTGAATAAGAACCGGGATCAACATTAGCAAGGGACTCTTGGCCAGATATTTGCCTCCTACATTGTTCCTATATAAATAACAGAAAAGGCATTGAGGATAATTATAATGGACTGGCCAGCAAAGAAAATATTTTTCTTCCCAATATTTCAGTTACACACTGGAAACAGTTTGTTTCATTACCCCTTCAGGGTTTTCTTCACTATTTAAACCTTGCTGTCTCTCGGACCCAGCCTTATATAGTTCGGTTAGAAGAGTTCCTCTCACATTATCTTTATTCTAACCACAGTGGTTAGAATGTGGTATTGCAGGCTGACTCTGCTCACGGCCAGGAGTTCGTTCCAGATCAGCTTAAGGTTGACTCAGCTTTCCATCTTTCTGAAGTCGGTAAAATGAGGACCCAGATTGTTTCGGGCAATATGCTGAATCTGTAAACTGCTTAGAGAGGGCTGTAAAGCACTATGGAGCAGTATATAAGTCTAAGTACTATTGCTGTTCACATGATTAAGTGGGTTTAAGCCATGGTTCCTTTCATACAGTGGATAGGGGGAATGAAAGGCCTTTTGATCAAACTTGCATTTTCTTTAATCTAAGGATGTTCATCTAGATGATTTTCAATCCATATTCCAACAAGTTTATGGCTGCAGTCCTTGAATGTAAGAGATGGGTGGCCAGTCATGACTCTTGTTAATTAGAAGATTGAGGTTAGGTCCTTGTCTCATGCTTGCTTCTTGTTGCAGGGACCACGATTGTGCCATTGCTAAATACAACGCACACGTGATCAATTTTGCTTTCAAGACAAATGCTGGAAGTAATCGGCCATCATCTGGGAGCAACAATCTCATCAGGTAAGACCCAAAAGTAAACTTTATTCAGCTGTCTTGTACATTACATATCTATTGTGATATATTGATTCTTATATACATCTGTTTTTTTGTCCTTTTTAGATTCTTTGGAGGGGATAGATATATCATTTTGTACATTGTATTTTTTTTTCATTTTCTTTCTAGTTATTTTTATATGATATGGGAGAGGAAAGAAGGAGGGAGAGAAAGACAAATAAGTGTTCCATTAGACTTATTTTTGATAAATATAATTAAGATTTAATTAATTGTACCTAAGTATGCATCAACATGTAAGGGATGTTTGCCTAGGCCCAATATTTTGACCTGCTGATAACTGTAGTTTTTCTTGAGTTTGGATATTTGTGCAAAAACTGCTCATGAATGGCCTTCTTGTTCATCTACTGCTGTAACTGAAATGCATGCTTTGTTAGGCTGGCCAGTCACTGCTCTGTAATCTCCATGGAGGAGAGGGTGTTTAGGACATTTATAGATATGCAATGAAAGTTACTAACAACTCCATCCAGATTCTGCTTCCCATTCCGGATCTGATTTGCTTAGTGTCAAAATGCCTGATTGTGGACTTGGAATTTTGCTTGGCTGAAGGAAAAGCTAGTCTTTCTTAAGTTATCTGGCATTTGTATTAATCCCATTTCTGTTTTCTTAGGTCATTGCCCTGTAGGAGCGCAAATGATTTGGAACCATATTCTGATAAACTGAATATAACTCAGATTGGCAAGATAGCCTCTAGACTTAGGCAAGTTTGCATACTTCCTTTCTGCTTTATATTTTTCTTCTAGGAACAGTTATCAGAAGCAAGGAGTGTAAGAGGACTTGTTAGGGAGATAAACAAAATTGCCAATGGTAAATATGGTAAATAATGGACTGGCTCATCAGAAATAGGAGTGCTTGGGGCAGCAGAGCATAAAAATACATGCCAATGAGCCCAACTATTTGTATTCAGAATTTCTTCCTCTGCTCTCTTTATAATAACCTGCATCACTCTCATGAAAACAAGGAGAACAGGGAGATCTGCATGTGTCTCATTCTAATTTCCTCTGCCTGCAAATGTGTGTTATATATTTTCTTGTGTGATTGGATCAGTTACTGCAGAATAGTTTCTGAGCACCAATGCAATAAGAACTTTTAAACTGGGAAATCTTAGTGAAACAGCCCTTCCGTACTTGCTGTTCATGGCATTGTGTTAGCTTCTGCCTTGAAATCTTGGCCTGAATGTATCTGAACTTACATTTCTTTCCTCTTTGGAAGAGGCAGAGTGTGCAACCTGTCCCATTGCATTATGGAATGCAAAAATTTGATTTTCAAGAAAAAAGGATCAAGAATCTGACATCCCACTAAACAGTATATAGTACTACAAGTTCTAGGAAGTGGATATAGGAACAAAAGGGATCCTAGTTGCAAGGAATCCAGCACAAAGTAGTTCATTGCTCAGGAGTTTGGGAAATTTTGAACCAAAATGCTAATGGGAACAGATAAGATTTATTAAGGTTAGGAGTGCTTGTGAATTTTCTTACTAAGTGCTTTGGTTAGGCACCTCCCTAAATTGGATTTCACATCATCTGCAGTACACTGAATTCCTATGTAAAAAGGTAGCTGATGTCTGTCTTCTAATTCAGTTGTGAACTGCTAGCTTCTATAATGAGAAAGAACAAAAAATTGGAGGAACCTGTGGAAGTCTCACACTCAATATCTGCAGTTGGCAGTTTACTTTTGCCCAAATCTCACATTCTGTCAATCTTTATTGGAGTCTCATTTTTATCTAGGACTTTGGTAGAGGATGAATGCCATGTTCTGGAAAGATACATTACACATTTACAGGTAAGGACTATCTCTTGGCTTGCCTAGAAGAGCTTCTAGACTCTTGCACTTCTAAAAGTCCACTACAGATATTGGTCATGGATCTATGAAGCTACTTTGCACAGCATTCTTCACTCTCAACTTGATCTTAATTTAGAATATCAAAGTGGTCCAATGATCACCTCCAATTTGTGAGCTTGTCCTATGAAGAACTGCACTTAGGTTTTTCAAGGAGGGAGTATTATGTAATGAAGATATGTTTGACTTTTATCTCAGCTTTGTAATTAATTAATTAGCTGCCATTCCTCTCATCTTTTCTGATCAGAACGTGGTGATGCATGAGGGCTGATATGCAGAGTAGGAGAGGTCAATGACATTTTTGGTGTATAAATGCCATTGCTTTGGATGCTTTGAATACTTTGCTCTGTGCTCTCTGCACGGGTATTCTGGGTAATATTGCCACAATGACCTGAGAATGCAGGAGGCTAACACAGGCTATTTTCCAGGGCAAAGAAAACTTAATCTCTTTGACTGAAGGGACGGGAGTGTGCATTGCTCATCTAAGATAGATTTCTGTAGTGATAAGAGCATCAAGATGTGAAACACCTCTGTGCTCAGTGCTTAAACTCTTCTGGGAAAGACAAGTATTCCTCTGCAGAATTACAAAGGAGCACGACACTGACATTTCAGCCTCTTTTCAAAAATTTTCTTTGATTTACAGAGCCAACTAGAGGAGGTGCATCAGAATGCTACTGAACTGCAAGACACAATGCATGAACCTACCCTGGCTGGTATGCCAAACTCTCATCTCGTGCCTTTATTTAGAATTAGACTGAGGATTGGAAAAGAGGGCTTTTCTAGCATAGCCAATTGGCATAGATTATTTCTAAATGCTATTCCCCTAATGCTTTTGTTCTTGGGCTTGTTGTTTCTCCATTTTGACATAATCCTCTGTCCGCAGAACTGCAGGAAGAGAAACGTGCCATGGAGCGGGATTTACAATTGAGCCTGCCCAAGTCATCTCCTAGGCCTCCTTCCCCAATGTCAAACCAGTTTGGGAATAGCACCCATTTGTCTCAACTCAGGTAGTATGAAAATGCTTGCAAGCTACAATACTAGGAAGAGGTGACAAGAGCAAAAGCCTTATAGTAAAAAGTGAGAAACTTAATTCGGCCTTGATTTATTATCACTCTGTCTCCAGAATTCTGAAGTAACATTTTTGGAATTTGTTCAATCCACTTCAGTGGAGTTTGGAGATCCATAAGCTCTTCTTCAATGACTTGAATTTCTGCCAATTTTGTTACTTTTGACGGAAAGATGTTAAATAAAACCTTTTGTATCACACAACTCCTTCTCTTTATTTCACAGCCATCCAAGAGGCTTAGTGAAAGAGCCAGGATTTGGACAGATCAAACCTGCTTCTAATGAGATTCCTTCACCAGATTCCAGGGATCAGATTTCTCTACTCTGCTATCAGCCGTCATCCAGAAGGAGCCATTCAACAAAAACCCCTTTGGGATGGATGCCTCAAAAGAGGAAGGATTCCAACCAGGAAAGGAAGGACAGTGACACTAAGCTGCCTACAACACTGGAACTTCCAGCTGCTTCAGTTTATAGGGCAGCAGCAGTAGCAGCAGCAACAGCAGCAACAGCAGCAGCAGTGTGGGAACCTGCTTTTCATCCTGTGCCTCCTACAGAACCTTGTCCTTCGTCTCGCTTTTGTTTCCGTGTTAGATTGTTGCAATGTAAAGGACCGAGCTAAGAAAAAAAAGAACTTCCTTTTCCTCTTGACATCTCACCACTTGCTCTGTGGCAACAGTGCCCATTGAAACCATATGCTGCTGTTCCCTAGGCCTGAAATGGGTTAATGTTGGTTACTATTGTCTTTGCTCATTCTTATGTTCAAATCCATGGATTCCAAAGGAAGTAACAAGGCCATGCTAAATACCCTTCTTCTGTACAGATAAGTGTCCTGGGAGTGCAGCAGTGCCCTTGGGATCCTTTCTCCTCCTGCTGCTCATCTCCATTACTCAGTACAATAATTCCATTATAACATTAAAGTAAAGGTATGGCTCCTCAAATCGCCCTTCCGATCCCACAGAAAGAACTGTACATCCTGAGTTCAGGAATATAAATTTCATTAAAATCTATGAGACTTTAACAATCTACAACTGGGAGAGTCATAGTATGGGATACTCATACAGTTATTGCTATGAACAATGAGAGGTGGCAGTGGCGGTTGCCACACTCTACAGGAGAGGGAGGGACAGACATGGAACCATGCATTAAATAGTGCATTTTCAGTACACAGGAGGGAAAGGATTGGATGCTGGAGGCTTAAAGTAAAAATGCCATCATGACACAAAACCATCTGTCCTTTCCATCATCTGTGCACGATGCAGACATTTGGCACGTAAACACTGGCCATTTTGCCCATGTCACTGGCTGTGGGTAGGGACCAGACGTGCCCTTGCTGTTGGCATTGTAGCAATTGTGCATTCCTGGGAGCTGAGGGATGCCCCCTACAAGACGTTTGGCAATGGTGTCCCTACAAAAGAATGGGCATTGGTGTCTTGGTAGCATTGCTGCCACAGGATAAAGGGCAAGGGAGTGGCTGTCAGGACCATTTGTCTCCTCCTCCAAGGCCTTGCTAAGGATAAAGCGCAGGCAGCAATGCTGAAATGGAAATATGGGGCAATGAGACAGGAAGATGCAACATTTAGTTACCCTTCCAGTGTGAAGACCTGGCTTGTTATGAAGACATCGTGCTGCCAGGAGATACTGGTGCTTCTGGCCAATTTCTTCATGATTGCAGCACGAGATTAGAAGCTCCCATCCCCACTGGGAAGTGGCGACCCAGGGTCCAGGGCTAACCAGGAATAGCTTTCACGGAAGACCATGCTTTCCCTCAAGTTGCAAGGGCTGGTCTTGGCACATCATCTACTCTTAGCACCATGGTTGGCTTTGCTCCTTTCCCAGAGACTGGGGCAGGGCTAGGTCCCAAGGGTCCCTTGCAAGTAGAGGGACCCTATTCAAATTCATTTGCTCCTCTGAAGGGGAAGAGGATAAACAATGGCTTCAGAAGGTCCATTCCTCAGAATTCAAGTACAAGCTCCTGCATAATTCAGTTGAATACTTTGCTCCACAACCTCTACACAGTGTGGCAGCACTTTACGTGAGCTTCCCACAAGTTGAGATTTTCCTAGATTTGAATCAGTCACATAGTGTCTCTATTAACTATGTGCAAGGATGTGAATGTGTGTGTGTGTGTGCGCGCGCGCACGTGTGTCTAAGAGAAAATAATTCTGGACAGTTAGACAAATAAGGCTAGATCCTCCCTACCAATTATGAGAGATTTCTGGAATTTTCTTAAGCTCTTGAAACCATCATGGGGACTTTATATCTACAGTTCTGAAAAAGTTATCCCACTTTTCATAAAATACTAGACAAGTGGGAAAGCTGGGAAGGTATAGATACTGATTGGTAGTGTGCAGTTTTCCATGCATGTGTGCAAGAGTGCTCATAAAGGCAGTAGTCTAGCTGAAGGTTGCTTAATTCTAGACTGAACTTTGCCTAGAATATCAGCTCATATTTGAAACCACTACTGACTCCCAGCACTCCCATTAGTTTCCTTGTGGGGCCAGGCAAATAGCCCTGATCCAGGGCAGTGAGAGCCATATCATCCCCAACAGATTCTAGACTCACTGGACCCACAAGTAGCTGCCAGAAACCATCCCAAAGTTATTTTTAAGCTTCTAAGACATCAATCAACCTTCCTACTGGTACCTCTCAAGGAATCCCCATCCAGTTAGCCAGCGCACACATCTCTGTCTCTGATTCTGGTTCTGGCTGTGAATCGGGGCCATCTGAGCATTACTTGTAAACATAAGGGTTACAAGATGGCACAGGGACACTAATGAGGTGGGTGGGGTGGGAACTCATAGCCCCCTCCCCCAGAGTCCAGCACAGCCTGGGAGCCAGGGGTCCCCCACCCAGTGGGGGGTACTTTAGTATATCTGAGCAGAGTAGGGTTTAGAGAACCAGGACAGGTGGGAATGGATTGATGCAAGGAGTGCTCCCTGCCCTGCCTCCCAGGCTAAGGTTCACATCATTGAGTCTTGGCTGTGGGTTGAGCCATTGCTTCCAATGGTGATGGCAGCCATCATGCCAACTTCATCACTTTTGGGTTTCTCAGGGTTCAGCAGCTGCACCTCCAGCTGGGATTCTGTTGAGCTGAATGCTGTTGCGTAGCGGCCTGTCTTGTGCTCAACAAGCGCTGGGCCCCATTCCCGGCTTGGCCGAGTAGCATTTTTCAAACGCTGTAGAGATACAAAAGGCAAACAAGAAGTTGCTGGTTTCAAGACCTGATTTACAGTGGGATCTGAGGCAAGTACACCCATATGTCCAGAAATCAGCAGCAGCTCTGCCCATTTGACTGCAAGTCCCAGTCTTACCTGCAGTAGTGAGTCTCCTTCTGAGCATAAAATATAGTACCCTGCGTAGATGGGGATGCAGATGACCGATGAGAGTGCCATACAGAAACCAATGGCGATGGCCCAGGTCGGGTACACATACGTGTTGTATGTGATTGGTTCATACTGAATCACTGTGAATATGAGGATAAACTGGAAGGAGAGGGGAAAGGCTGATTGAAACCAAAGTGTATACTGCATGGCGTCATTCCTAGTCTTGCATTCTGGGGACCTTCAAAAGCTCTTTTCATTTCTCAGATCTGGATGTTTTTATCATAGCAAGTAGAAAACCTCTGGCCTTTTCTCCCCCCTCCCCCACTTGCTTATCACTATGTTTTTGTGCATTAGCAGCTTAGTCTTTATTCCATCCTGATTATGTCGTTAGTCACCCAGTCCCCTTTTCCCTCACTCCCAATCCTGTCTCCTATGTTCTTTTGTGATTCTCCCCCCCCACTCCTTCTTTGTACTCACAAAAATGATAACTGGAGAGATGAACCTCCAACAGATCTGGAAAAATATGGGTGGTGGAAAACCCAGCATCATCTCAATGTCCTTGAAATAGCTCCGGTACCCTGGGTGAGAAAATGATCAGTCGATTAGAGTGGAGGTATTATAACTAGACACCAGGAATACTGCAAGAGTCCATAGGGTATAATAGGCTATCTATTTCTTTATTGTGTCTCTCTCTCCATTCCTCAGTATGGCTCCTTTGCTCTGCTCCCTATCCCTATCACAACTCCTGACAGAGAAAGCAAAGCACAAAAGAAGTCTCTGCAATGATAATTTGAGGCAAGTTCTCACTGCCTACTGGCAGAGTGCCTGAAAGGGTTAATGTCCAGACCAGGGAACACTAGGTAAAATATCCTTTGGGGCACTCCCTCTTAGGACAATGGGTTCCCTTGGTATGATGTGATAAATGTGACAGCGATATCGTAGCAATGATTGCAAGGTGGTTGGGAGACATTTTAATGAAGATTAGGGGTGACATGATAGCAATGTTCCAATATCTCAGGGGTTGCCACAAGGAAGAGGGAGTGAAGCTATTTTCCAAGGTGAAAGCAGGACAAGAAGCAACGGATGAAAACTAATCAAAGAAAGAAGCAATCTAGAACTAAGGATAAATTTCCTGACAGAACAATTAATCAGTGGAACAATCTGCCTCCAGAAGTTGTGAATGCTCCAACACTGGAAGTTTTTAAAAGAGATTGGACAACCATTTGTCTGAAATGGTATTGGGTTTCCTGCCTGAGCAGGGGGTTGGACTAGAAGACCTCCAAGGTCCCTTCCAACTCTGTTATTATTATTATTAAATCAAAATGACCTGACCCCCTAGAGCAGTGTTTCCCAAACTTGACAATTTTAAGGCATGTGGACTTCAACTCCCAGAATTCCACAGCCAGCGTTGCTGGCTGTGGAATTCTGGGAGTTGAAGTCCTCATGCCTTAAAATTGTCAAGTTTGGGAAACACTGCCCTAGAGCACTAACCTTATGCCCTTGAAGCTTGCCCAAGGCTACCATCTTTCTGTACTAAGCCTGCTGCTGTAATCTGTTTCTTTTACTACCAATTCTTTTTAGTTGAGGAGCAAGTAATCAGACCTGCATCTTGGATCAGCAATCTTCTGAGCTGTGAGTGAATGTGTCCAATGAAACCAATTACTGGCAACAGCCAAGTAAACTTTAATATCCTTCAACTTGTTGTGATTGGATATTAGTCTTGTTTGCATTTGAGTTGTGGACTCTTCATAAGAAAGAATTGAACAAAATTTCCTGATTGAAGTTTTTCCTATCTGTTTCTTACTCCAGGCTCCAAAGTCAGGAAACTCTATTCAGGGAAAGCACCATTTTCTATTTCCGAACTTACATAATATAGCTAATTTTTCAGTGTTCCTGGGGGGAGTTCTGCTGTTTTGATCAAGTGCTCATAGTTGAAACATCAGTATTCCAGCCATTCTTATACTCTTGAATTGTCCCAGTTAACTCAACAGAGCTCTCTATGCAACTGGCAGAAGCTACTCACCATAGACATACATAATGGCAACACACATGATGCATGAAATAACCACAAGTGAGAAACTTGCTGCATAATTGTCCATCAGCGATAACCAATAAATACCAGCCTAGAAGAGAACAGAAAAAGAAAACAGTCAAGTACTGGATTAAGCAAGCCTTGCCCCTTTCAGCCTTAGGATGCGAGTGGGCAATTTCTGCCTTTAACTCTCTCTCATACCTGTGTGGTGAGTGGGATACCTAGTAGAAAGCCCACCACAGCCACACCTAGAGTCACAAAAGTCTTCCGACGCCACATCCATTCATTTCCCACTTCATCCACAATGGCTGTGACAAGAGTTTCCAGGAGACAGAACTGAGGAAAAAATAATGAAGAAGAAAAAGTAAAAGCTATATATGTCACAGAGGTTTTGTTCTCTCCATCTTCCTCCATTTAGCAACAGTAAAATCACTCCTTCTCTCCAACTACAGGTAGTTCTTGACTTACAACCATTTGTTGAGTAACCATTTAAAGTTACAAAAGTATTGAAAAAAGTGACTTATGACCATTTTTCACACTTCCGACTGTTACAGCATCCCAATGGTCATGTGATCAAAATTCGGATGCTTGGCAACCAGTTCATATTTAGGACGGTTGCAGTGTCCCAGAATCAACCTTCTCACAAGCAAAGTCAACGGGGGAGCCAGATTCACTTAACAACCGTGTTACTAATTTAACCACTGCACTGATTCACTTAGCAACTGGGGCAAGAAAAGTTGTAAAATGGGGCAAAACACATTTAACAACTGTCTCACTTAGCAACAGAAATTTTGGGCTCAATTGTGGGTGTAAGTCGAGGACTACTTATACATCAATTTGGATTAATATACAGGCTGGAGATCAGCAGTGCTTAAGTAAATCAGCATTTGGGGCAAATATACTTTATTTGGGGGGAGAATCTAGTGCTAATAGTTAAGTTCGGTGTGCCTTAATCTGCCACCTTCCCCAGGTTGGTGTAGTCCCATCATTCTAAGTCAGCATGAGAATTGATTATACAACTTGAATATTAATGGGAGCTTCAGCTTGATTCCACCTAGAAAGCACCAGGATACAGAAGGCTTCCCTATTAGTATAGCAGGGGGAGGGGGGTAGGCAACCTTGGCTCTTTTATGACTTGTGGACTTCAACTCCCAGAATGAGCCAAGGTTGCCTACTCCAGTATAGCCTCATTATGACTCAGTTTGCCATAAGGGAATTTGAAATGCTAGTCATGCGGTATCAGAGTAATCACTGATGGTTTCCAAGCACCATAAAATCATCTTTCCTTCAAACTAGATGAATCAATTTTGGGGCATGTGTTTAAGTATACACGTATACATACAGGTGATCTGTATTTTAACAAACACATATGCACACATATAACAGATGCACACTATTTTGCACTTATGTTTATTGGCTAGTTTAGCCTTCTCTGGAGTTGTAGCTTTCAGACATGTTGGGCCCTGGAATTCACCCAAAGGATAAGCTGCAAATAGCTATATTTACCTGTGTACCCAGCCCCAGCAGGATGAGCATGAAAAAGAAGAGAACAGACCAAAGAGGGGAAATGGGGAGGAGTGTCAATGCCTCAGGATAGGCCACAAATGCCAAGCCAGGGCCTTGGTCGGCCACCTTGGAAACATCCACTCCCAGGTGATGAGCCATGAAGCCGAGGATAGAGAAGATGACAAAACCTGCGTAGACACTGGTAGCACAGTTGGTGATGCTGATGATGATGCTGTCTCTGTGGGTACACCAAGTTGGGAGAGCTCATGAAAACTGCAGCTGAAGCAAGCCAAATAATCTGTCTCTAGAGAATACGCTCCCATTTGAGATGTGCAAGTGGCTTTAGGTACTAAATTAGGGGAGAAGTTTATTTTTATTGTTATATTTTATTTATTTACATTTTATTATGTTTTAGTTCAGGGGTGTCAAACTGCTGGCCCACGGGCTGGACGCATCACGTGGAAGCTGTGCCCATCCCATTGCTGGCAATGGCAAAACAGTGCCGATACATCACGCAACGTCACATGACGTCGCGAGTTTGACATGTCTGCTTTAGTTAAATCAAGAAAAATGTTTATTTTAATTGTTGTAGCCATCTTGAGCACCATTTGTTGGTAAAAGGGTGAGATGTAAACCCATCTGTTCTTTCTAAAGGTAATCTTATGAAAGCCACCTGCAGTTCTGAGATCCATAGATGAAAGGAGGCAAAATGATTTAATTATAAAGAATAAAGAAAACACAATTTTTGTTTCAATCGCCAAACTAATACAAAGCATTTATGTGAACTTAGGTAATGTAGATATTTAATCTGCATTCTGAGGACTGCTTCACCTCATGCTTTAAGACAAAAATATTTTTTTTAGTATTTGTGTTTCAAAAAAAAAAGCTCAAAAATTATGCACTGTCTAAAATCAGGTTCCTCCCCAATGGGAGAGACAAGGATTCTAGCAGTTTATTACCTGACATCCCTGCACTATTTCCCCTGTAAATTATTTTCCAGATATCTGAACTATTGTATGTCACCCAAAAATCTCTTTGTACATCCTTTCCACATCACTTCTACCAAACATCATACCTGTAGCAGTTGTTGTGAAACTTGTTATATGATGCCATGGTGATAAGTCCCCCCCAGGCACAGCCCAAAGAATAGAAGATTTGAGAGGCAGCATCGCCCCATACCTATCAAAGATAAAAAATGTCACTGGGGAAACAAGAGTTGCCCGTGTAGTTTCAAATTACAGGGAGGTGGTTCAGTTATGGCTCTGACCGCACAGCTTATGAATCCATTATGATATCCCCTCTAAATACCTTTGCATCAAGGATTTTGTCCCACTGTGGCGTCAGATAGTACAGGATGCCACTAACTGCCCCGTCAAGAGTGATTCCCCGCACAAATAAGATTGTTAGCACCAGGTATGGGAATGTTGCTGTGAAATATACCACCTGAAAGAGGGGGGAACAAAGGAAAAGTTGAAGACCATTCAGACACATTGCAAGTAGAAAGCAGGTTCCAGCAAAAATTCCTTCTCCCAGAACTTTTATTTCAGCAGCATGACAACCGTCAGCCTGTCCAAGCAAGCTTTGACTCCCCTCCTCTTAAAACTAAGCACCCTCTATTACAATCGCTATAGTTTAACAAATATATAGAATTTACGGTAATAAGCATTTAGGAAAATCCAGTTTTTGACTAGATTATAAACCCGCAGAATAAGATAAAGCCACTCTTATGTGACCAAGGATGAACATTAGAGTGCTTTCTCAATGTAAAACTGAAAGTGAAGAAATAGTCTGTATCTGGACTACTATCAAATTTGGAACTTATTTTATTCTTGGCTAGAGGAAAGAATGAAGGATTAGGAATTGAACATGCATTAGCACAGCAAACTCCAGACAACTTGTTGACTGGAAAAATTAACATATTTCGATGGAAAAAAAAACCCAATAAAATCTTTATTAAAAAAAATAGTCTGTATCTGGACAAAAGAGGAGGGACAAGGATGTTTGCAGATGGCGTCAAAAACTGACCTGAAAGCAAGATTTATTGCAGTGCTTGGACACAGGTAAGTTAAGGAAGAGGAACACTACTTGCTTTTCCTGAGGACTTCACACTCTTGATGAGGCAGAGAAAGACGACAATCCAAGAGACGCCCAAACAGCCCAGCAGGGGAAGCCGAACTTCACCCAGATTCCCGATGTCATTAGATAGCTTCAATACATACCGCCTGGAATAAATGTTATAGGAGTATAAGCTCCAGTTTGCAAGTACTTTACTTCCTTCTCTACCAAATGCATCAAATCATTTTGCATCCACAGGCCCCCCAAAACTGGCACTCACATAAAGAAAAAAAAATTCAAGACAAAAATTCTAAAAGGTGGGATAGGTAACTGCTCTGAACAAATTTTAGGGTCAGAAATTAAGTAAATTAGTATATAGATCTTCATAGTTCAGCACTATGAACTTACACCAACTTTCACCAACTTGATAAGACTCATAAGTATTTATGGAGAAATTTTGTTTTCATTCATCTCTAATAAGAAACATTTTAAAATGCAGGTGACATTTAAGTCTATTAGAGTATAAATAACTCCCCTAACATGATATTGTTGGATTTCATAATTCAAGGGGCAAAATGGATTTATTTCAACTCAAGTCAAAAATACTGCAATTTTATTTTCTTACCTACTGTTTCCATCCCTTGGTCCAGCAATGGTTTATCTGTCTCTGATTATAAATCATGTTACATAACATATGGAACTGCCTACATCCAATCTTTCTGCTACCTGTTCCATTTAAGGCAACATCTTTCCAATATGCAACTTGCCTTAAGTGATGTCATTCAGACACGATGGTTGGGATGGTGGCTGCACCTTATAGGCAGAATAAGCTAGGATTACACGTTCCATGTGACATACCCAATGTCTTCCATAATTCAGTCCCTGTCTATTTGTTTTGAATTCAAACTTCCACCAGCCCCAGTAAGTGTGATGCTCAGAAGTGATGAGATCAGATTATTCCCACTGAAGGAAATCCCTTACAAATCAATTCCCATTTTCCCCCATATCCATTTACCTTATCCCCTCCCTGCCCATTATCTGCCCCCATTATCACCTCCAGTATTCCTCACTGGGGCTAGTGCGCTTCAGAGTCTGATTGAAGATATGTGTGATGTTGAGTGATGAACCCACTGAGCTGTTGGTAATATCCAACACACTGGTACAATTTCCTGTATTCCAAAAATTATTACAGTATGTCCAGGGTAGCACCCGTGTCATTGATGAGAAGAAATAATAGAAGGCGATACAGATCACAACATTGTAATAGATTCCAATGTAGCTGGAGACAACCATCATACCATAGCCAACACCTGAAGGAAATAAAGTATAAGGATAAATAGGAAGATTTTGAGATGGGAGTTTGCTGCTAAATGTAAAAGAAGAACACATTGATGTTGGAATTGTAAAGTAGATGACATAAGTTTGCAACATGCACACTACATATGGAAGGGCAAGTTTAATTTAAAGCAGAAACAAGAAAGCCCATGAGGACAGGTCCTACCAACACACACTGATTAGATTTATACAGCTAAAACAATATTGTGGTTTGTGGTTCAGCATGTTTTCTGGAACCTAGCCATTGTCCTCTCCAGTTGTGTGAATCAAACTATCCATTAAGCCATTATATGATTAGTTGAAGCATATGAAAGGAGGTGAATATCACAATTAGAATTTGCTGGTGGTGATTTAGCATTAAATATCTAGTGCAAACACTGCCATTACGTTCTTCTGCTTTCAGATTCAAAACAGAAAAAATGCAGCCATAAGGTGGGAAGCAGAAGACTACATATGAATAGTAACATATCTAAATTAAAGGGACCATAACTTATACATTACAACTGGGCAGAATAAATCGGGCAGAAAGCTAGTGCTAGGAAGTAAATATTCTGACCTTTTCTTTTGGATTTATTGTGAACTTCAGATTTTCTACCTTAAAAAAAGCAGATTCTCTGAAGTGAAAATACAGGCTTAGTTTCTAGGCCTTCAATCAGATTTTTAACAATAATCAGATATGGTTCTAGAAATTGTCTTCATGAATATGGCCGACAGTTATTCAGTCATCAGTCCAATTACCTCAGCTCCATGCCAGTTAGATCAAAACTGGATGGCATACAGCAACCTTTTAAAAAATCCTAGAATTGCTGCAAGGAAGCTGAGGGGATATCTTTTCTCTCCAGTCCCTTTCAACAGTGGGAGCAGAAATATGTATTTGACTGATCAGGCTTGGATAGGCAGGAGTGGATGTGGTAGGCATCCGCCATTGTTTTGTTCTGTGTTTTGTTTTGTTCTTTCTTTCTTTCTTTCTTTCTTTCTTTCTTTCTTTCTTTCTTTCTTTCTTTCTTTCTTTCTTTCTTACTCTCTTTTTTCTTTTTTTCCTCCCCTCCCTTCCTTTTTTCTTTTCTTCAACACATCTGCAGCAAGTTGAAATTTTGTCAAAATGATGAATTGTGTATTGTGACATCAAAACATAATTTCTGCCATTTACATTCTTGTGTGCAATTTTGCAATGCAAGTATAAAGGGATTAGGGTCTGTATTGTGCTACGACCAAGCATATTGCTTTATCTTCACCCTTCTGTGTCCTGCAGAGACATCCAGGTGTGTGTATGGGAGGCTAAAACTGCAACATGAGTGGTGATGGTCCTAAAAAAAGTGTCTAGGATTTCAATTCTGCCTCCGAAGAGCAAAATAATAGGAAGCAATGTGATGTAGCTAACATGGAAGTTGGGCAAATAGTAGCAACTTTCATCTCCAACTACTAAAATTCTCTAGTTTTAAGTGTTCGTAAAACATACTAATGTATCTCGTGATACAAATTTCTCATTTGATATGCCAGTGTGTCTTGAAAATCTCAAATCAGACATTTTGTTGCCTGAAACAATGGAGAAAATAGTGTCCCCCGCCACATTTCAGCTCTATTATGGTAGAACTGGTTCTGCTGTAAAGGGGGCACATGATCCAGATAGAGAATGTGATTGTGGCCATAATCTGAGGGCCGGTCCACTGATCATTGGTTCTCTCTCACCTTTGAACATGGGGCTGATCTTCCAGACGCCCAAGCAGCCCTGACTAGCGAATTGTCCAAAAGAGAGTTCCAAGAAAAACAGGGGGATCCCACAGAACACCAACATGATGAAATAGGGGAACAAGAAAGCACCTAGGCAGAACAAAAGGAAGCAATCAGCCTTACAGGATTTCAGGAGTAGAAGTCATGCTCTGTATGCCAAAGTCAAATTCAGTTCCTGGCATCTGCAGTTATAAAGAATCAATGTAGAAGTTCAAGTAATAAGAAAGCACTCTGGGTAAGTTTTAAAAATCAGTATGAATTGGGGACAGCTTCTTATTCTCGGATTGAGGAAACAGAGGACTTGAAAGCCATTAAGGGAAGGATACATTTTAAGTTTTATTCAAAATGGGATAAAGCCCTCCATTTGTGCCAGTAATTCCCAGCTGTTTTAAGCAGTCCTTTCCTACAAACACAATGCCAGTACATGCAATTGGTAGGTTAGTTGGGTTTTCCCCAGTCTGGGGCCTTCCAGAAGTGTTTGGGCTGTTAATTAAAGAATTCCCAGCCCAGCTTGGTTCACAAGTCCTCAAAATCATAACTTAATACATTCAAAATACCTCTGGTCATCTTGAGCCAGGCCCCAAGAACAAACCTGAGTCCCAGAATTGTTAAGATGCTGCAGCAAAAAGCCCACCCTTCCCTATTGTGCTGAAGCATAGGCAGACAAAGAATCAGTTATGAAGAGCTTCTCTGCTACCAGCAACTTTGTATTTTTCAGGCCAGACTATGGTAGTGCACTGCCACAAAACACAGTGAGCCCTCACCAGCCTTTCCACAAACACAGTGCTCTGACCTCCATACTCACCTCCTCCATTGCGGTAGCAGAGGTAAGGGAAGCGCCACACATTGCCAAGCCCAACAGCATAGCCAACACTCGTGAGAACAAATTCAATCTGGTTGCCCCAGTTGCCTCGTCTGACGTTCTCATCTCGCTTACCTGTTTCACCAGGCACAGCCCCATTCTGCCAAAAGAAGAAGGACAGTCAGTTATTACAGCTAGGCTTGGAAGGAAGGAGGCTTGGTTCTGGGCAGGCTTTTTGGAGCTCCTTCAAGATATGCAAAGAAGGAACAGCCAGATATGAAAACACAGCCTACGCCCACTTTATGTAACACGGGATAATGAGGAAAAGGCTGCACTCTGGTTGTTTTATGTCTGTCCCCTTCTCCAGCTGATGGAAATGCAGGCAAAGATGGAGAGTTTGAGGACGTAATGGAGCTGCTACCCCCTGCTTGTCCAGATGAATAATCCTGGGTCAAGCTGTAGGGAAGCTGGCAGTTGCAACACATACAAAGCAGGCATGAGAGGAGGCAGCACAAAGGAACCTCTGTTCCTGTTTCTTTTGCCTGCCCAATGATCCAGCTTAAGAGACCCTAGGCAGGGCCAGTCCCTCTAGTCACCCACTGTGCAGCTGAGCCCCCACAAGATCAGAGAAGCCTTGCTAGTCTAACCCATGCTATCTTTCCATCTTTGGCCAACCAGATTCAGTTGGGAAATGCATAATCAAGTCCACAGCTCTCCCTTATTGCTTGTTCCCAGAACATGGTTATTCATAGATATAAGCCTCCCTGAAGGATCAGTTATTTTAGGAATTACCTTCTTGTGTGGTGCTTCCCTATACACTACGTGCAAATGCTGCTCAGAATATGTTCTCCAGGTATCTGTCTTCACTTTTGAAAACTATTTATACTAATAATTGCATCCAGTGGTAGGGAGCTTCAAATATTAATTATTGTATTAAAAAAAGAAGAAGTCAAATGCACTTCTCTTTGTGGCAACCTCAGAAGTCAAACTCAGACTCTTGAACTTTCTTAAATTCTTGGGTGGAAATTTTTCATACTTAGTATGTAATTTAAAACAATCCTCCTTGATATAATTGGTTCCCCATTCCAATACATTGAGCTATAATTCCATTTTTCTCCAGGCAAACTTGCACCAGTTCCGTGAGTGGGAGAGTGGGTGGGGGAAATCAGCTAAATACTTACTTAAAATATTTCAAATAAGGGCTATAATATAATTGCACACATGCAAAATTAAATAACCAGTAGAGGGTGCCAAAGGATATAAACATCTATTAATGTTCTGTTGCCATGTAATGGTCAATTGAATTTGGTACCAGATATGTTAACTGTTTAAATCCCTTTGTACTTATAATGAAAGCACTGAGCGAAATTATTTGTTTTTCCCTATCTTAGCATGCCTTAGGATCTAATGTAACTTATATTTATTATGAATAAGGAATGATAAATTAGCATTTGTATAATTACTTCAAACTCAAGATTCTTCACATTTATTACTTCTGTATAATCCATTCTTTGAAGATGCTTTATTCTGAGTCACACTGTTAGACTCAGTATTTTGGAGGGTGCCAGCTTTGATAACAGCTTTGTACATTTTCAAGCAGGAATCTTTTCCAATTTTCTTTGAAAATCCTGGGGATTGAGTATGGGATCGTGTATGTGCAAAATACATATTAAAACTTCAAGGTACAGCTTAAGGATATGTGATGACAGTGTATGTATTTAGACAGGTTCACATTTATTCATATAACATGCTGAGCTTGATTAATGTTAATTGGTGTGTGTGTGTGTGTGTTTGTGTGTGTGTGTTTCATATGTTTCATAAAGCCAGTATGTTCAGTTCATTTATGGTTTGCTCGTTTGTTTATTAGATTACCCAATTTTCATTCAGAAGCTCAAGACAGCATATATACACTCTATCTTCCTATTTTTCGTCACAACAAAAACCTTAGGAAGTTGGTTGGGCTGAGAGAAAATGGCTCCATGGCTGAGAAGGGAATAGAACCTGCATCTCCTTGGTCCTAGTACCTTAACCACACTGCTTTAATGTTTTCTGCAAAAACAGAAATTAGCTAGCTAGCTAGCTAGCTTGTTTGTTTGTTTGTTTAATTTCTATAGCTGCCCATCTTACTAAAGAACTCCGGGCAGTTCACAATTCAAAACATGTATTACAATTAAAAATTAAAAAACATTTTAAAACAATAATATTAAAAAGCATTAAAACAATAAAAACATTATATTTAATCCGAAGTATGCGCAAAAGCAAGACATCTGGCCTGTTAACAATATAACCAAGAGGTGGGGCCCTTGGAACATGTAGCATCCCAGGATAGCCAGATTTTTAGAGCTTGACGGAAGGCTAATAGGGTTGGGGCCATTCTAATCTCCGAAGGGAGGATGTTCCACAGAGCAGGGGCCACTGCAGAAAAAACTCACCTTCTAGTTCTTGTCAGCCAACATTCTTTGGCTGATGGGATCTGCAGCATGCCCATTCTATCTGACCTGGTTGGATGGATAGACTCTGGAAAAAAGGTGCCCCCTCAGCTACTCTAGTCCTAAACCATGATGCAATAAACAAGTTAAATAATCTTTATGAATGCTACCAATGTGTGCTGGATAAATTCAAAGCAAGTGCTTTCTGCTTCACAGTCCAGTTTCTTAGCTGGACTAAGTTACGCCAAGTTAACTTTGTATCAGTCAACAACCACAAACCAAAGAGAGAGAGACTATCAAGATAGAGGATGATTCTAAAGAAATAGTGGAAACATTTAGAAAGAGTCAATAAATCTTGGCTTGTTCTTAGTGCCATTAATAAGTTATGAGAAGTATTATTTCCTTTCTTCAAATTCCTACCTTGATTAAATCAAATTATCAATCTGCTGTCCGAGTTACAACTATAATTAAAAACAAAAAAATTAAAAACAAAAAAAGAGTGGTCCAGAAAAAGCTGCCACTCTGAAGTCAGTATCAGTTAGTAGTTAATGTATTGGAATGTGATTGGGATATTCTTTAGCAGCGATTATACATCAGCCTCAAATCCCTTGCAGGAGTATTCCTGTGGTGATAAAATGATGAGAAGCCTCTACATATGCCACTTGGAACTTCTAAAGGAAATGGTAATTTATAAATGTAAAAATATATTTCCCTACTGGAAGAATATGGCAGGCATTCCCAGACAAGCTGTCATTGTGAAATTATAGTACCCTGTTCAATTGTATAGAGGACAATGACATACATCATTTCCAAATGACAGTATATATTTCTACTTAGTCTGTCTTCCTGGTGAGGAAAAAAAACCCTGTCCGGTGTCCTTTAGAAGTTGTGCTTCTCAAACTACTCAACGAACCAGTGATCAGCGCAATAATTTCTAGGATGTAATGAAGGGGCATGACCAGAAGAGGGAACTTCATGCCTCTAACAACTCCAGCTCTACAGTCTTCTGCTATTAGATAAAGGATGCTAAGCAAGCTTGGCCCATCTCTCTCCCAAATGAACCTATTGCTGTCCCAAGCCCAAAAAGAGCTGGGTGCATGCTCCCATCTTCTCTGTTCCACAGGGAGAAAAAAAAAGGAGCAAACTGCTTATTGTTGCCCACATTCTGGGCTGATAGAAGCACTTTTGAATTCTGGAACAGCAGCTTGCACAGATGCCCAAACAAGATGGGATGCTGACATCAAGCATGAACCCTTTTCTAGGACAACACAAATAGATCTTTTGTCCATCTAGCTCCACACTGGCACCACCACTTCGTTGTATCTTCCAACAGAACAATAGCAAAGTTCAGATCAAATGGGGAGCAGGGAGGAGGGTTTCTCACAAAAACAAGTTTCTCATCCAGCTATGGGTAATGAATTTCTACTTTTGTGCTGGAATAAGAGTCTCCTGGGTGCTGTGGCTCTTATTCTGCCTTTCATTCTATTGGGAGTTGGTAGAAGCTACCCACTTCACCTGCAAACTAAATTGGAATTTTAATGGCCCATATCTCCTATGTGGGTAGAATATGTTCCTATATCAATTTCCACCAGTTCAGTTCAACTTTTAATTTACATATTCAGAAAGAATTCAGAAGCTAAAGTGGTTTGAAGGTGAACTTATGATAAAACAACAGATCATGGATTTCCTTTTTTGAGATAATAGCAGAAATCTTCAGACAGAGCAGAAAAACAAAGTAGCCTTTTTATAACCAAAGAGCAAAGAGATGTGACTGAGATACCCATCCATCCTTAATAGCCAGAGATAGCAAGCTTTGGCTGCTATTCAGAAAACATCTGTTTGGTCCAATAAAAAATATTGATTGGCATAGTATGAATGTTAGTCATTCAAATGCAATATCTCTGCTGGGGAGAGAAAGGAGTTGAAGAAATGGTTCCTCCATTGCATAATGAAAGATTTAATGGCCAGCACTGCTCAAATAAAAAGAGGGGGCAGAAGACATGACTTCCTAGATACATAAGATGTGTCCAAAAATAAGAACTGGACAAGAACATGTCACAGAATCCTCAATAAAAATCTCCCTTTTGCCCTGCCTCATAAAACACAACACAGTTCTTGGATATATATTTTGCTGTTGAATCAATTGCTATAAGTGCTTAACAAATGGAAACTGTCATTTCAGTTCTGCTTTCTGCCACTGAAATAGGATGGGGCTGGCAGACAGTGAATTGTGCACTTCAGCGTATCATTCAGTTCGAGATAGCAGTCGCACGGGCACAGAGATGCCTAGAAACCATCTTCTGCACTAATTTGGGAGAAAAGTCTGGCAGAATGCAATAGAGTTGGGCCTTCTACAAATAACCATACTTGTGACCCTTGGGAACAGAAGGTGAGGTGGTACATTGGTGATCTAGAGTGTTAAGCTTGGTGGAAACAAAAAAAAAATGTAAGAAATAGAAGTATCTTTTGGATTAGAGGAAATACTACTTTAGGGACTCCTGAGATACTCCTTCCTGATCATGTTGCTTTACTCTCCAAGCCACTGGCAAAATAAAAAATAGGATAAAATCCTTTTATGTCACTATAAACATAGTACCATAAACAATTCAAAATTCTACTGTAATTCTTGTCTGTGTCTACACCTGATTTTTTTGGAAACTTGAAAACTTACACCATAATAAAGATGAACTTGGAAAGAATGCAGACAAGGTAAATCTCTGAAATTTTTGCA